GTCCCTCGTCACCCCCTGCCCCTAACGACCCCACAGCCCCGGGGGGGCCGGGCTCTGCTTCGGGTGCAGCCGAGCCTTCCTCCAGCCCTGCAGCAACACCCCCAGCATCACCCTCATCCTTTGGCATCTCAGGTTCTTCTGTGGGCATCTCCGTGTCTTCATCACCATCGAACCCCTCGACGTGCCCCTCGTCCTCCGGCACCAGAGATGCTTCTCCGGGAGCTTCCACTTTGTCTTTGCCAGCTTCGGTTGCTTCAACTTTAATTTCTTCAAAGTCCTCGGCGATCTCGGCTTCCTCTGAGCTGGACACCTCTTGGTTGGGAGCAGAAATAATGAAATAGCCTTCCTCCTCCTCCTCCTCCTCCTCCTCCTCTTCCTCCTCCTCAGCACCCTCTGCCAACAGGGCCGCCTCTGTCCCTGCCTCCTCTTCGCGGCTCTCTGTCGCGGTGGGATTTGGTGGCTCGTCCTCTCCTTCATCCTCTGGAGCTATTTGGGATGTGGGAGCCGTGTCTGTGGTCTCCTCGCTCACCAGAGGGTTTTGGTGGGGTGCAACCGCCGCCAACTTCTCCCCCTGGTAGAGGTGCAAGGGTGTGTGGTCGGGCAGCGTGTCCTCCAGCTCCACACTCATCCCTGCTGCCTGCTCCGGCTCTCCTGGTCCCCCAGCATCCTCCTCCACTGCTCCAATGGTCTCCGGTTGTCCCAGCTCTGGGTCTTGCTCATCCTCATCATCCTCATCGCGCGCCTCCCATGGCTGCCCCGTGGTGCTGTCCTCCTCGTGCCCCGGGGCTGGCACCGGTGGCTGCTGCTGGTCCTGCTCCTGGCTCCTGGCATCTCCATCGTCTTCCAGGGTCTCCTCCATCTCCACTGGTGGCTGATGCTCTGTTATCCCATCACTGCCGGCGCCTCCATCGTCCTCCCATGTTTCCTCCATCTCCACCTGTGGCTGCTGCTGGGCCTTCTCATCGCTCCCAGTGTCTCCATCATCTTCCCGGGTCTCCTCTGTCTCTGCCGGTGGCTGCTGCTGGGCAAGCCCATCGCTCCCAGTGTCTCCATCGTCTTTCTGGGTCTCCTCCATCTTCACTGGTGGTTGCTGCTGGGCCATCCCATCACTCCCAGCATCTTCATCATCTTCCTGGGTCTCCTCCATCTTCATTGGTGGTTGTTGCTGGGCCTTCCCATCGCTCCCGGTGTCTCCATCACCTTCCCGGGTCTCCTCCATCTCTGCTGGTGTCGCACCATCTCTCTCCTCATTTTCCAGCCCCCCTGCACTTGTTGGGGTGTCATCCACCCAGCCTGGCTGCTCTGTCCCCAGAGCCCCCTCTGTGTCCCCTGTTGCCACCTCCCACTCCTCTGGATGGGGTTTTTGGCTGCTGGCATCACCTTCCCTGCTCCAGGGCTCCTCTCCCGGCTCCAGCTCCAGTTCCTCCTGCTCTGGTGCCTCTTCCATGGAGTCATTTTCCTGCAGATCCCCAGGCTCCTCTGGGGCTCTGCTCTCCCACCCCAGGGTTTCAGGTCCCACAGCCTCCCCTGCTTGGGGGTCCTCAGCTGCCAGCTCCTCTCCCTTTTCCCCATCACCATCCCATGCTGTGCCTGGGGCCTCCCCTCCCACAGCGTCTTCCTCAGCCCTGGATGAAGGCTCCTCTGCTGGGATGGCCTCGGGGATGCTCGAGGGCTCCTGCCCCAGGCACAGCTCCTGCTCCCTTTCCTCCTCCACAGCCGGATCCGTCTCACAGACGAGCATTTTCTGATGCTCAGACTTTTCCTGCTCTCCCCCAACAAAGTCCTCTTCCCCGTCTCTATCCATGGGGGAATCCATGTGGCTTTCCTCTGGGACAACACCAGCAGCTTCAGCCTCCTCCTGCAGGGACTTCCCTTCTCGCAGACCCTGGGCATCACCGTCCTCCCTGCAAGGACTTAGGGGTCCCCTCCCCTCCTCATCCACTTCCTCCACACTCAGGGTCTCCACTTCATCCTCCCCTCGCTCCGGCTCTTCCCAGCTGGTCCCTGCCTGGCCAAGGCCACCCATGTCCCCTTCCTGGGCAACCACTTCTGGTTCCCTTGGACTCATCACCGCATCCACCTCCTCCTCCCATGCTCCCATCTCTTCCTGATTCACCACAGTGCTTAGGGATGCATCCATGCCACAGGGATATGGTCCCAGCAGGGATGTGGCTTCATCCCGCAGAGTGCTGCTCTCCACACCCAGCCCCTGGACCACAGCTTCCCCAATCCCCTCCTCCACTTCAGGGGCTTCGCCACACTCGGAGGGGTCTCGCCCTTCCTTGTCCTCATCTGCTGGGGCTCCTCCGCAAACCTCTATGGGGAAAATGGGGCTGGGGGCACAGGCGTTTTGGGGGGCCCACGCAGCGCTGAGGATGAGCTCTTCTTTGGGCTCAGCATCATCTTGCATCTCCTTGAGCGCATCCTCCAGCGCCTCACTGACCAGTTGGGCTGGGTACCGCAGGCTGGGCGCTGATGTGGGGGGCTCAGGGGTCTCAGCCGCTGCTCCGGGCTGAGAATGCTCCATCCCCTGGCTCATCTCATCCCCATCTCCCCCCGGCCAAGCGGGACCCTCTCCTCCCGGACTCCCCAGCTCCGGCGGTGTGGG